AGCCGTCTCCCTGGCTCAGTGCTTGGCACGAGAACTCATCGCTGACCGTAGAGAGAATCAGAGAGTTTTATTGCCAGCGCTCCAGCGAACCAGAGCATAGGAACTTGACTCCACAGAACAGCCTGACCAAGGTTACACACACACATATAGACAGAACAGATACAGGCAGACCACGTGAGCAGCCATAACGGCGCTCATTTCAATAGATGAAGAGGGGATTACATGAGGAGAATTAGGGGAGGGAAAAAAAAAAGCGGAGCAGAGTTACACCCGGCAGGGAGTAGCTCTACTATGCAAAAAAACACCTCAACATGTAAGCACGAACGTCACAGTTCACAACAAGAGACCCGGTAGGGAGGGGGGGCTGGGATCCTGGTTTCCTCAGCGGGAGCAGCCCGTGTGGCGCTCAGCCAACTGTATCCACAGGTGGGTGGGAGGTCATGGGAAAGCACAGAGCACATTGAGTTCCTCCATTTTGATGACCTCGCTAGGCAGAGACCACAATCTGAAGGCGGGGGGTGGGGGGTGGGGGGTAGGTCGGGTTTTCACAGCATCTGTCTGCATTCCTTCCATCGTGGGGGTTATTGCACGCAACTCGAAGGCTGCTATGGTGTCAGATTGGATAACAGGACTTTGTTTGGGTCAGGCAGAGATAATTTTCCTCTCTGCCTTGAAGTCTGTATTGATCATTCAAGTCCTCCAGTGAAGCCAATTTAGGTATTAAACATCTCCACACCGTCCAGTGACCCTCTCCGTGATGACATCCATTTTGCACACTAATACCGGCAACGCAGCAAGGACATTGTCCAGCTTACGGTTCACCTCGAGTAACGTCCCAGTCTGTGAGGCATCCGCCCGGGCGGTGCTTGCCATGGGTGCGGGTCGCACTCCAATCGTTCCCGACTTCCCAAATTTCCAGAAAACCAGATATCCTCCCATTCCAATCAGAAGAAATCCAGTGATCATCAAGCCAAATATCCACACATCTTCGACGTCCTCAATGGACAGCTGAGAGAGACAAACGATCCTCCAGACCTTACAGGAATCGAGCGCATATCCCGCTGCATGTGTCCCGTGAGGACAAGCGTGAGCCCCCTCCTCCGTTCTCATCGAAAAGATCTTATCAATCGCGTTGACTGACCAATTAATTAAATCAATTTCTAAAAAAAATAGGGAATCCCAGAAGAACTGCAGAGAAGCGCTCTGTAGGCAGACGGGACAAAGAGCCTTGGGAAAAAAGATAAGGGAGCAAAAAGGGAAGCGACTTTATATGAGTGCCAGAAGGAAAGGAACCATTGATGCACGTTTCTGAACCATGGAGTGAATGTGTTGCATATCCAACATCAAATCCAACGACCTGTAAATGTTGCTATAATAACACCTCTCATCTTTTGTGCTTCTGCACAGTTGCTGCATCAGTCATCCTTCTTGTTTCTTTCTCACATCAACAGACCCCCAAACAAAAAACCTTTCTGGCAGAAGTTTCTCATCCTGTAAAACAGTAAAATATGAGCTTTAAGCAGAAAGGAAGTTACACTGCCACACACGTAAGAGACGCTGCTACGGTCACCTCAGAACTAAAGGGATGTCTGAGTTAATTAATTAGAAATGAGTAATTTTACAATGTTCATCAGCAGGCTTCATACAGACACTGAACTGTCACTGACAAGTCAGGGTCCTCGGTGCTGACCCGTTGTGGTTTAGGATGTGTTTTGTTTCAGTCTGAAAACAGAGCTTTAGAAAAACACCTGAAATTTCCTGCATGAATCATAAATGCAAACACAAACAAAGAAACAATTTAACTCAAATAGATAACACCAGCACATTCAGCAGAAGCACTTTGACAAAGACCCTGAGCCCAGCAGGTAGTGGCCAATGTTAATGGAAACATGTGCATGTGTGTGTGTGTGATGTGTGTGATAACCTGGGAGACAGGGACTAACACACAAACGCCACATGCCTGCAGCAGTGCTGTTTTTTAACAGACTGTCGGGACCAAGCAGGAGATGATTTGTCTGATTTGTGCAGAGATGCAGAGTTTAGCGCGTCATAAACACCAGAGCAAACCGGCTCCCAGACGGAGGAGTGTTAATGATGCTGCCTCTGCGGACAAACTCATTGGAACAACTGAAGAATTCATGACTAGTTTGTAAAACCGGATTGACGGAGGAAGCCTGACTCTTTCAGAGCTGCTCTTTTGTTCATTGCTTAATCAAATGCTTCCAACCAAAGGCCCAGCAGCGCTCATCAGAAGGGCACCTCTTTATCACGAGACGTGCTGCTGCCTTTTTCATGACCCAACAACCGCAGGTTTGTCTAGTGTGGCGTTCTTAAAGCAAAATCAGAAATGTAAATCAAAGCTGCTGCTGACTGAAACCAGGACCACTGGACAGCCACCTCTCTGACTTTAGACGAGACATCCCCGTGGTTTGGGGTCATGGTCATCACTAATTCTGTTAAATCCGTTCACATTTGAGGTTTCTCAAAGACTTTTGCAGAAAACAACTAAAACAAAATTCCGTTACATTAATGAAGAAGATTCAACTGTAGCTCAACAAATGTTTTTTGTAATGTCAACACACTGACGTTCTCATGTGTTTGATTATTAGATCCCACCATACAATCATGGCTTATTTGTGCTTTTACATCTGAGCATAGCAGAATTAGCTTAAAGAACAGCATGTTTCTGGTTTTAAGCCACGCCCCCTACATGTAAACAAATGGGACGTTCACCAGAGTCCTCAGACAAATCAGATGACTTGTCAGACCTGTTTCCACTATCCAAACATGGAAGTAATTTACTGGACCTTCGTGTTCTGTATGTCTCCATTTCACCGGACCATTTTCCTTTTCAGGAACCAGCAGAGAAGCTGGACTGGGGTTTGCACTCAGAACGGTCGGTAGAGTGGATGGGCGGGACTTATGGTGTACTCATGCTGATTGGTTGAAACCCAGTAGGGATGTCGGCAGACATCACTGACTGACCAGCATTTGTAAAATTGGAGGAGTTTCTGGTGAAGCAGCATTCACGCGGTTTTAGAACATCAAACACCAAAATCGTGGCAGAAATCCTCCCACGTGAAATAAAAGAGTAAATAAGTTATGATGCCAGCATACAGATCTTGAGAGTATACTTTTAGAAATCTGTTACATAATCTCTTGTAGCAGGGACAGTCAATAAATGTGAGGAGATTTTATATAAAACGGTGTAAAACCTCACATGAATCAACGGGTCACCGAGTTGCAAAGGCCCAGAGTGGAGCCGGACTGCAGAGACTCTGTCAATTTTAATCCTCGGCAGACAGAATTTAGAGCAAAGGGACATTCTCGCCTGAGGCTCTCCGCCCGAGTTTCGGTTGCAAAGTGTCAGATGTTTGAGATAAACCGTGGAGCGAAGCTAAACGGGACTTGAATGTATTCTGAAGTCTGGTGTTTGTGAGGACGATTCGTCAGGATGCCTCCTTATATTATCCTCAAGCTGAAGGAGTCGTCAAGGACAAAATAACTCCTCCTTTGCTCCAACATGAAAAGTAGCAGAAACGGAAACATCTGCATGAGTTTAACATTCTCATAAAGCACCGAATGTGTGTGTGTGAAAAGTTTCTAATTTATCTGAAACACAAACATGAAGCAGCAGAAAACAGGTGTTGATCAGGAGCAGAACACTCACATAGAAGGGAGGCTCTGGGCTCCCCCCAGGTGTGTTGAGCCGAGCTCCCCCTAGGTGTGTCGACCTCCCCCGACCTGCCCTGTAATTTGAACCCTGAGCAAAACTCCTATTTGTGGTTAGACTTTTAAAGGCGTGTAAATAAGCATAACAGGGAGCTCAACTAGAAATGAAAGTGACAGCAATAGGGATGTGTGGCCGCTCCCTGGTCGCATCAAACAGAAAAGCTCAGAACTTTTTCTGAACCAGTCCAGCACCCATCTGCCACCAGCACCTGGACAAAAAGACCTCTCTTTCCCCCTAAAGGATGACTTAGCTGGTGACTCCTCATCAGTATGATGCACGTTGAGTCGTCACTTAGGACATAATCCAAGCGTGGAGTGAATGGCCATAAGCTTTATGATCCAACAGATTTCTTTTCTTTGCTCTTGCAGTTTAACCACATTTGATTTGAATAAATGAAGCACAGAACTGCTGGACCCATTTCTAAAGCCTTGAGTAAACGACAGGTTAAAATCACAGCAGAAGGGAACTTTTATATCACTGTTCCATTCATTAGATTCAGTAATTTAATAGTGAAATTTCATTTTATTTTATTTTATCTGCCACCTGCTGAAAACAGTAAACTAGATCAGCTTCAGTCCCTCAAGTCATCGTTTTCCTTCTGCAGCAGCACTGACTCGTGGGAGCAGTCGCCCTGCTGTAGCAGCTAGCATGCTGCCATGCTAACACTAGTGGAGAACCTATTCACATTTTTTCCATTCCACATTTTATTTTCTTAAACAACACTTCCAGAAAGTTTTCACCAGATGTTGGACTAAAACCGATTATCGTTTGCAGTCAACTTGATTCAAGATGGCCGCCACGGCTAACTGACATTAGCATAGAAAAATGGCGGTGTGAGGTCTGTAGCCCCCTAAATAAAGGTACTAAATCAAATGATTAAATAGCATACCTCAACACTTCCATGAAGAACCACTCACTATAATAAACATTATCTTATAATGGTGACACGTTTTAACCACAGCTTAAACTGGTTTTAGCATGAATGAATGTGCAGCGCCCAGGTGGGTTAAGTGGTAAAAAAAGTTTCAGCTCAGCAAGTAACTGATTGTTTTTATTCATGAATTATTGAGTGTTTAAGAAGACAAATCACACATATCTGTTATTTACTTCATAATTTACTTTGAACATATGCATCTGCAAACTTCACATTTACCATGAAGACCAGTAAGACGGGTGTAAACCTGTTGTAAACGAAAACCAGTTATTCACAGCGTTCATGCACACTTTAGAGGCTGTAGGGGAGTAAGGGCTGAAAATCTGCTTTTACCTCATGCAGGTTGGTGTTGGGAATCTTCATCTTTTCCTCTAGAGGGTTGTTGGAGTTGGTTGTGTAGTTCTTTAAGCTACGACTCTCCTTCAGTTGGGCCTGGAGCTTCTCCCTGCGCCTTCTACAGGGAGAACAAGAAACATGTTCATTTAAATGAGTTTATTCAGAATTGTTTGTTGGTTTTGATACAGTGTGTGATACGGTGTGCCTTTGTTTACAAGTTTTAAATGAGTGTGGGTTACGGGGGAGGACATATTTTTACTTAGGAATAAATAACCAAGACGCTACGGCGTAATTATTGCTAGTTTACTAGATTATTTAAATAAATGTGAGCCAAAAGGGATGTAGCACACTCACTGATGTCCCCTCCAAAAAGACAAAACTAAATCCAAAGTATCAAAAGGTTAAATGTGTCAAGTAACATTGACACTTTTTTCTCTCCAAAAAGTCAGTGTGACCAGTCCCTGTCTGGTTAGTGTGGGGTCAGAAAAAAGCAGATGTATGCTGAGCCACTTGAGGTTAGCTGAAGCTGACCTTTCGTTAACCACTACCATCTCTCTCTCTGTTACTGTGTATAGCCAACTCTACACAAGCATCCTGCCACTGAGAACAGGTCACAGAAATGAGCCCTTGTTTGGTGAAGTCCTTCATATTCTGTCACATAATGAGTCCATTCTCATATTTGTTCCAACACTAAATGTACTGTACTCTGGTGGTCGTTTTTATGCCTACGCAGTACAAAGAACACATTAATATGAGTTGATCACACTTGCTGAAGTTTCTGATTTGCATCCTTTACATGTTGTGACAAGCTATGGCACCAAAGAAGTACACGTGGCCTCAAGATCCAACATTTTGTACCCTACTTGATGAATTTATTGCATTGTAAATGCATGTAACCATTGAAGTGCAACTGAAAATAAACAAGTGAATTTAGAAGATGACAAAACGAGGATTTTTTTGTCATTTTCACTTTAAATGATTTTAGTCCTGTGTTTTTATACATGTTCACAGTATGTTATAAAATAGTTTGTTATACTGGCAGCATGCATGGGTTTTAATGTGTTTTTTTGAACTTAAAAGAAAAAGTGTATTTTGTTAGCTTTACTTTGAAGTAAAAAATGTTGACTGATGAATTAGTTTCTGGTGATATGAAATTTAGTAATGACATTTTGCCAGTATAATACAGCTGCTACTAATTATATCACTGTAACCTATTACATTTAATAAAATTATTTCTAACTTTCTCAAATGGAAAGGTGGACTTTTTGTTTGACCTAATCTATAAAATCACAATTTGTACATTTTTGTGTCAAAATAACACATTTTAATGCATATTTGTGTTTACTTGAGTGACACAGTAGTAGTGTCAAATGGACAAACACATTAGTTGTGTCATTAATGACACAACATGTGTTGTCTCTGAGCTGATTCAGCACGTGTTAAAATTTAACACATCATGTGTTGTTTTTAACATCTGTTTTAAGAGTGCGTGTACTTGTTTTGTCTTTTAACATTTTATTTTTTCCAAAATCAGCCCCAGAGCAGCAGAAAGCCGCCCAACTCTCATCCATCCTGTTAAATTTGTACATTGAAGGTGATCTTCGGTGCTAAATCTCACATGAAGCACACAGAGGAAATAAAGTCAAGAGTCTCCCACTCAGACTTGTTGCAATGCACCTTTTAGTTTCTGCACGGCAACGATTCGTTTCAGGATGAACCCTTCCTCCCTGTTCCTGTCTGCTGCTGTTTACTCTCCCTGCTGATGTGCTTCTTCATGACTTCCTGTTAATTTTCCATCATGGCCACCACACAGACAGTATAAATTTGAAAATGTCACCTCTGATTAAAACTTTTAACTTGGTGTTTTCTCGCCAGTGGAAAAAACCCTGAGCTCTGGAGGCAAACAGCTTCTTTTTGCAGCTTGAATGTGTGATTTTGAGGTAAAACAGCGTTCGCTTTGACCCTTGCATTGATTTTTCAAATAATCTTTACAGCCCAGTTGTAAAGATTGAAATTGAGTTAACCCAGAGTTTCTGGGTTAACTCTGTCTAGTGTTGGAAAGTATTTGCTATCTCAGAAGCCTTTGACCCTTCTTTCTTTTCCTTTTAAATGCCACATCGATTCTTTTTGGGCAATAAACTGAGATGTGAAAGTCTGCTTCTGGGAAGCACATGCACGGAGCTGGTCATGGTTTTAATCACAACGTAGGAAACATGGAGGCTACAACAATAAACTACATCATTAAAAACATTTCTGTAATTTCCTGTGAAAATTTGTAAAAGTTCAAAGTTCTCTATCTGCTAATCATGTCCCAATTATTTAAATAATCTTTTAAAGTCTAAAATTCAAGTTAACTTGATGCAGCTTGACTCAGTTTAGTGACTTTTGTTAAGAACTAATGAGGATTTCCAGAAGCACTGAAGCACTTGTGTTGCCGTTCTTTATGTAATTCTGTCACAATTTTAGCCTAACAACAAATATATTTCAAAGTAAAGTAGAATAAAGCACTCTGGGCATCATCCACTCACCAGTTGGTGCTCTACAGCTGATGGATAGCCAAGAACGCAGCAGGGGGCTTCGTCAGAGTGAAGACACATATGGTGTTGAAACGCCCGTTTCTTGTTTTTGCATCCAATAATATGTTTACTCACCTGAGTCCTCCAAATCCCTGCCTTATGTTTCAAAGTCCGGTAATCAACACATTAAAATGTACATTTCATTAGAATAAGGCCTGCAGTATGCTGAACTTTGTTGTCACCGCTGGCAGCAAAACATATTACTTTTTCCATAAAAGGACGTTTGGTGAGGCAGGTGAGAAAGCCTCGTTCCTTTATGAGCTCTACGACTTTACATGACTGAACTGGTGTTATGATGTCTATGGGAGATTTTCCCACATAACTTTTTAGCTAATATTTTATGATGTCTAATGTTTTAGATCTTTAGCTGCTTCCAGCAAACGCAGACGACATGAAAACGTAGACGTTTTGGTCATGTTCCAGCGATGCGTCTCTCACAGCTGTAGGTCTGATGCGCCATGATGGCCGCTCTCGTGGTCTGCTTGTATCTGTTTTGTTCTACATGTGTTGTGTGTGTAACCTTGGTCAGGCTGTACTGCGGAGACACACCTCTATGCTTCAGGACTCTGGAGCATTGAGTTGATTCTGATTCACATTTTCTCTCAAATGTCCTCGGATGGCAAAGTGTGGACACCGATGCTAACATAAGCCGTTTCTACTGTCCATTTGCCACAATGCAGTGGCGGCATCTGGGGGCCTTATGTTGTTTATGTGGTCAGACCGTTGCGGTAAGGAGGCACAATCGTGTCCTTTTTACAAAAGATTACGCAATGTCGGCCTGAAAGGTTTTTGGGTTGGTCTCTGTGCTGCAGCGGACTTCTGTTTATCTTGGACACAACTAGCTTTTTATTGCGATTGAAGCCACGCTAATTAAGTGTATTTAACAAGCCGCTCCTAAAGGTGTCTGTCCTCCACAGTCCCTGTGCAGTCTCTGGTGATCTGAGCTCCAGCTCTAACAGAGCTCCTGTGGCGTTCACTCACGGCCCGTGTTTACTTTAATTTTCAATATAGTTGTCGGCCGGAGCTCGGCATTAGCTCTCCATGTCATCATGACACCTCTGTCTGTTGCGCCAAGGTGCAATCACCATTTCTAACACGGACAATCACCGCAATATTACTACTGAGTGAGGCAGAACGAATGCAGCAACATTCGTGCAACGCCATGCCGGCATGGCACGTTTATAAGACAGACCGATGTGGTAATATTTCGCTCATTTGTCGGCATGTTGTGTCTTGTAAACAAGGCTTTAGACTTCAGTTATATTTTACCTCACAAAGCTGGAAAATAAAGGGGATTTTAACTCGTCATGCCTCAGACATAATGCATTCGGTGTGTTTCCACCACCAGAACCTTAGGGTGAATTTTTAGGAACTTCTCAACAGACGCGTGTCTCCACTGGACTGGGCTGACCAACCTGCTGTTTTCTGGCCCAGTTGGAGTGACTTAGCAGAACCTTTGGTAACTCACGCTGATTGGTTGTAAATAGGAAGTGGCTCCAGCAGATGCTGTTCAAAACAACAACAGCAGCAGTAAAATTAGAAGAGTTGCTGGTGAAGCAGAATGGAAGCTAAAGAAAATAAGCACCAATCTCACTGCTTCACAAATGCTGTTGCTAAACTCCCAACACCGGAAAACATGACCCATAGAGCGCTGTAAAAAACTGACCTTTATCTGGACATTGAACTTCAACAGAATACATGGTTTCAATGTTATTAATGTTACTGTGGGCACTTTTTGGTGCTGATCAGTGACAGTCAAAGCAGTCGCGATATGCTGATGTCTGTGCAAAGTCCTGAAAGGGCTGAATTTGAATGGAGACACAACAGCTGAGAGGACGGGGACATCTCTCGCTCAAATTCTCCCTCCCAGAATTGTCCCTGAAGTTTCGGCAATGAAAACGCAGCTATTAAAGAGACAACAGATCAGGATTCATTTCAAAATGACTTAAAGTTTCTACACAGCAGCTGGTTGGGCCGAGTTCTTGTCTACCTCCCAAGCATCTCGTGAATTTGCTGCTATGGAGGGAGACACGGTTACCGTGGTGACCCAAATTAGCCACTGGCAGCAGCTTTACATTTCTTTTGATCTTGGTTGTCTCAACACTTGTTATATCCTTTGTACATGAGAACGTAGAACTTGAGTTTCAGCTCTAACGATCACAGAGTAGAAGTTTGGGCGGTTTAGCTGCATTTGTGCCCTAAACATCTGTCAAAGGTCAACTGGTTTGTGAAATGGGCAGGATCAGGGATCTGATGCTTCATTCTGATACACCAGCATTACCGCCCAACAATCTGATCAGTTTGACCCTGATTTTGCACAAACACGAAGCTGACCTCGTGAAAAGGAGTCAAGAGATAATCATGTTCAAAGATGTGAAATAATTAGAGCTTGTGGTGCAGAAGGGTGTAATCTGATTACTTCTGTTGGGCAGAAAAATGCAGCTCTGGTTTGTTGCTCTGACCGGTGCCATGCTCGTAATTATTACCAGACTAGCTGCCCAGGCTTGTACAATTAGAGCATCCTGGAGGAAAATGCACCAAC